ATAATCCAGCTGGCAGCTGGGATCTGCTTGTTACTAATTTCTTGTGTTTCGATTTGATATTTCCACATCATGTTTAGCTTTTTTTTCCTTCTCATACTGTGTATGGTATTCAGTATGGCAAGTGTTCATAGGTTTCAAAATAATATTAAACAGGATTCGGAGCATACATCTGCAAGAGCAAACATGCCTACTTCAAGTATGTGCTGGATACATACATAACCTGTTTGATTGTCAGTCTAAAAATTAGTCTTGACAAAGAAAAACTTTGTTTTTTATAATATCATCAAATCAGAAATTAGTCAGTAGGTAATTTCTAGCTATTTAAGGCTCATTATTACTTGTTATTGTTGTAATTGTTTAACAGTAACAGCAGAAGCTACTTAATTGTAGCAACTGATTATTATGTTTTTTTTTTGATAAATCGATAAATGATTGTATTAGAAATTGGCACATTCTGCAGGTATTTCATTTAACCATCTTATTTTATGAGTTAAAGACATACATTCAAATGAAAATTAAAGTATACATTTAATTTATGAAGAAATGTACATATTATAGTCTTATGAAATTCTGAATTTTACACTAGTATCACTTTATGAAAGCATGTCTTTAGTAAGCATGTCTTTAACTATTGGTAGCAAAGCATGCATCTCCTACTAAAAAAAAAGTTCTAGCATCAGCATGACAAAAACTCAACATCAAAAGACTAACTCCCTCTGAAATAAAAGGTGTTACTAATGTAAAGATCCATAATTTACACTTACAAAGTGCATTCTGGAATTTAAACTACAAATTTTCTGTATGAAAAAGCTTAATATTATCCAAATAAAATTAAACCATCACAGTGCGTTTCAGTGCCAAGGCACACATTCTTTTCTGTTTTTATCGCTCAAATTACCAAAAATTAAAAAGCCAACAGATTCAAAGAACAGAATCAGAACCAAACTTTCCTCAGTACACCGCAGGATGGACAGTTCTCATATGTCTGATTTTCAGATGTATGTTGGATCCACCTCCTAAAGTTGTTTTCATTTAGCTGAGAAGGCATTGTTGTTCCAAAGATCTTTAAACTACTGCTAAAATGCATCTCATATGCAGAATTAACATATTTTTTGACAGTTTTGGTTTAATTGCTGCTCTCAAGGATTGCATTTAAGAATCTATACTCAGTTAACCATTATTTGATCAATTAACAATTGGTTTAACCAATAATTCTTTCAGCCTTACCAGTAATAAAGAATCCTTTAAACCCTGCATGTTCATCTTCATGAAAATATCTAATTATTTTTAATGTAGTGGCATACTTTTAAAAAGATATTTTTAAATTTTTAAGCTTTTGTTAAAAAAAATACTTGATGCATGCTACAACATATCAAAATATATTGTCCAGTACTAAATAAACTATTAAAAAATGTAATGCTCACCTCGTACTGAATGAAATTTTTCACAGGTTTTCACAGCAACAAATAAATTGTTCTTCGATACAGGATCCCCCTGGAATGAAGAGAAAGACAAGACCGTGTAATTTAAGATGATCAAAAGAAATGTACAGCTGTTCACAGAGTCTACACACTAAAACATAACTCAAACTGGGTTATTTCCAGCCAAGCTGCTGAGCTATTATAGCACCGGCCCAGCAGAAATGTATTTGAGCTGGTCCTTTAAAACCAACAAATGGGTTATAATATTCTCCCCAAATTAAGGCTTGAAGTAAGTGCAAATTTGGATACATTCAACCAGACATATACGTATGTTAATACCCTCTACCCCAATCCTGGATTAAAAAAAAAAAATCTGGGTTGCTTTAAATTCCTAATTTGTTATCTACCACAGTTTTTGATTATTTCAACAGCTACATACATTTGTTTAGCAATCTTTTTAAAAGCTTAGTAAAATTGTCCAATGCCTTAGTTAATTGAAACATATTAGAATACAATCATTAGGAAATTAAACTGCAATAGACTACCCATTGTAAATTTCCTTACAAATATTTCTGTCACAAATTAATCCAAAGTGGGTTTTTTTTATATTGCTCCATCAGTAATACAGCCCATGCTTTTATTGTGAAAGGCCCAGAGCAGGAAGGTGACGTAAATAGATTCTTGCAATGTGTATGGCAGAGGTGGATGCTTTAGTCTCAGATAGAATAAGGCCAAAAATATAATGTAGTAGTTAACATAGGAATAAATTAACATGTTTTTTTTAAGCAATATGTTTTCAGTAATATTTAGTTATATTAGCATATTTGATGCAAGTCTGAAGAAGAGTTGCACATACACAGTTCGGTAGGTAGGTTGAAAATGTGGTTGCACAGTTGTCTCTAGTCTCTGCACAGAACTCTGGAACTGCTGTCATCTTTGGACCTCTTCCTTCCTCCCAAATAAACAGAGCAATCTATAAAGAAGAGGAGACAGTGAAAAACAGGAAGCCAAATCATGGATTTTTGGATTAATAGCTGATTAGATAACAAGATTGGACATGCAAATCATTAAATCATTACTAATGTCACTATTTCATAAGCAAACTTGGAAAAATGAATTTTCCTCTGCACACACTCAAGCTAACTTACTTTGTCTAAGTTATATCTTAGGTCATTAGAGATTTTAAATTGGAGAAGATATTAAAATGCAAAACATCTTCAAACACCATGCTCTGCATTTTAATCAGATGATTCCAGTCCAGTTTTATTACATTCAGGGCATATTATCAACTGCTGGTCTGGACATCAAGTAAGCAAAAATAATATTGTAGTGTCACGTAGACAAAAGGATGCAAATGCAAAAAAGATTTTTTAAATTTACATATTGACACATGTAATCTCCTATCAGTATCTTTAATTTTTTTTTAAGTAAAAGGAAATTTTTTTTTTTTTTAGTTTTTAAATATGAAATGAAAAACATTTGATTTTAAACATGTTACACAAATCTTAAATCCAAAAATGGAGCAAAAAGAGTCACTACTTTGTAGATCCACTTTTAATGAATCTGATCAACTTTCCTCTCCCTCCTCAAAAGAAGGAAGGATAGATGATGTTCTTGCTGCCAGCAGCACTGTTTATACTATGGGCAAGATAAATTTAAGGTGCTATGCATTGTCAGTTTTGGCAAACTTGACATTTTTCATGGAAATGAAATTAAATCCAACCAGAGAGACTTCTTCCACATTATCCTAACCCTAACCCTAACCGGCAAACTTGACATTTTTCATGGAAATGAAATTAAATCCAACCAGAGAGACTTCTTCCACATTATCCTAACCCTAACCCTCCATGTGAACTTTTCAAACCTAAATCCCAATCCCTGACAGGGATACTGTTTGATATCCTAACCCAGCTTCTAAAGGGATCACAATAATACCCCTGACACTTTTGGTGTGTTTTATTGATGTTGGTGTTTTTTTATCAATACTTTTTAAAAACTTTACATGTTGGACTGTGCTTTCTAACATCGGTAATGTTTTACCTACATTACTTTGATCTAAACTGTATGAACATTAATGCATTACTGCAACTAAATTTTAAAATTTTCTTGAGAACACATTTCTTGTTTACTGGTGACATATATAGTGAAATTAGCTTTTACGAAGCCTGTGTTTATGCTGAGCTAAAGAGACATTATATTTTACTGAAAATATCTTTAAAATAGCATTTTTATTTTACTCTTTACGACTAAAACATCATTTAATGAGCAGACTGAAACCTTAGTAGTTCAGTACTGATGCATCTTTAAGCCTGTAGCCTAACTTACTTAATTTAACTTGGGATGGAAGTTCCCACGCTGTTCAGCGGATGTGATGTCAAGCGTGTCCATATTAAATGTGACCAACCTAGCAAACAACTGAAGCATTATATTCAAAATGCATTTTTTGGAAACTCAGAAGAAACCAGCATCCAACTCAAAACCAATAGCAACTCCAGTTAAGGTGAAAAAAGAAAACAAAAAAAACCTTGTTAAGTAGGACTGCAAGTTACAAAAACCAGCAGCAGAGAGCTGCAGTTACGTATTTCAGCCACAGATGGCAGTATCATTGGAAAATTCTGTAATCCCTCTTTAAATTAGATGCCAAAAACTTAAATCCCGAAGAAAGTTAGATGTAATGGTTTTTATTTAGGAGCATCGTGGTAAATAAGTTTGGTAAAACAATGCATGACACATCTTTATTTGTAAAACATCTAAACATAATCCATCATTTTTTTCTATATTTCCCAGTTATATACTACTAAGGGCTTTTGTTCTCCTTAAAGTCTGTTTACTTTGGTACCAGTAGTTAAGGATTTACTCTACTTATAACTTTTTTATTGATGGTATAGTTAATTTTCAGAGGAAAGTGAACCAAAACCAGTCACTATAAACCATGCAATAACATTCATTCTGTTTATATTTATATTTCTGCAGGGGAAGAAGCAGATGCAAATATGGGAAGGACTAGAAAAGACAGACATTTTCTTTTGCTTGTGTTTGCCTGACTCCCACAATGCAAAGCAAAACTACCTACAAGGAAGGAGTTTGTCTCAAATTTGCATCAAATACCTTGTACAGATGGCCAGATGTTCAGCTTTAGGCCAGACATTCCAGGTATTCATTGCACTGTCGGACGCGTATTTTTTCTCCTCTATTAAGGCATTTTTGCTGGGCTGCAGCAGTATTTTTACATACTATTTTTACATCATAGTATGTAAAAAAAAAATGCATCGAGTATCTAGTCTGACAGATGATTGACTACTGTAAGAGTGGTGCTATGTCAGATAAGTTAGCATCATGCCAAAACACAAGATCTTGTTTAATTCCAAACGGACAAAAATTGCGTGAATTTATATCGAAAAGTAGTCAGGGCTCATATCATGAGATTCCATGGTAATGTGGACATTAGCAGTCAAGGGAAAGCTGCAATTAAACCAATAAACTGCAAATAAACGTTCGGCAGGTAATAACTTCTGTGGAGCTGTGCAAAGTATGCCGTACAGTAAAACATCACCAGTCCTACAGAAGTGTAGACTGTGTAGTGAAATTGGACCAGGAGATTCAGTGACTCGCCCACAGATAAAGGGACGACCTTAAGGACAGAAGGTCAGCTGCAAACACACAAGACACAGTCCCAAAAGACTGAACTTAATAATAAAATATATATAGATACTTTTTTTAGCAGTTGAATGTGTTTTTTTACAATCTATTTCGTTGTTTAAATAAAATATTAGGCCTTTTTAAATTCTGAATGTCATCTGTTAGAAGATTTTTTTTAACATTTAAAGGTATAGAGGATGATCTTTTTTTTTTCGGGTGGATCATTTGAATAAGTGGTACACTTAATTGTCAATCATTCCGGTAATATGTTTATGTAAAGCCGTCCTACCTGCTTGCCCCCAGTTAGCTATCTTTTTCTGTGCATGCACACTTTCAAGTGTATATCTATGGTGAGCTATGGTTTCAGACAGTAATTTAAGCTCACCGTTTTCACTGCAGTTCTTTGAAAATGGCCAAGGGCCATAAGAGAAAAACTGTCTATGAAGTGAATGAGAAGAAAAGAGAGGCCTCAGAAGAGGCAGATATATCCCAGAATGCTTTGAGCAGAGAGCTCTACATCGCAAAGCATTATGGGATTCGCTGTCACACCGGCCCGCTGTCGTCATAGGTTGTCACTACCTGACAGCGGTGGCTAATAACAAAGATGAAGCAGGCACCATGCAATATAGGAATTGACCAAGTGACCAACGGGGAGCAAAAAGTAGTGATCATCTGTCTGAACGGTCAGTTAAAAGAGTTCGCTATAAAGTCCATTATATAGTAGGTGTGTAAATAATTATCGTTTTGTACCGATGCATCGATCCAACAGCCGACGATCCGATGCATCGACACGTCCGCAAGATAATCGATTCATGTTTTCTTTTTCCCTCCGGACTATTTTTATCCATTTTCTCATGGGCGTAATTCTCCCTCCTGTGCTGCAGTGGCGCTAAACCTATTTTGCCCTCCTACCTTGCTTCCTGGTTATACTCTTACAGCAGTGTGTTGCAGTGAGCTTAACACAGACATTTTTGATTTATGCCCAATGTGGAAGCGTGGTCTGCGCTATACGCTGTGGGTCTAGATACGGCCGAGGCGGAGAGGAAGTGGGGGCGAGTTTAGTCCGACAACAGAGGGACATGAGGGCCAAAAAGAGCGTGAGTCCAGGTGGAAAAAGGGTCCAAGCGTTCTCGCGCACCTCGCTCTTCTAGCGGGTCAAACTTCACGAGTTGTTTTCCAATTTTGGTCATAAAAACAAAACAAGCCGACCTCCTGTCTACGGCACTGTTTGCGGTCAGCTACAATTTGGGAGAGGAGCAGCGGAGTGTCTGCGGAGAGAGCGGAGACGTCGACCCTCTGGAGTCAAGGTATTGCATTGCACTCATTGCACTGATTTTGTACAGTATTTTTTTATGTAAGGCCTTTCAGAATCTATAACGCAGGGGCATGATTATTTTTCAGTGAATTGGGTTTTAATAGGAATAGGTCGAGTACAACTTTTCTACTTCTGTTATTTGCTGTTGTTTTTCAAATAAAATGCATAACGATATTACAGCTTTCATTTATTTATTTCAAATTTGAAACATTGTCTAGGCTGTAAGGTTAAAAAGATAAAAATAAAAAATGAACCAATTAATCGACTCGAATCGAATCGTGGTGTATTCTTGAGTATCGAAAATAATCGAATCGCTGGGTCAGGAAATCGATACTGAATCGAATCGCCATGATGGGTGTGATTTACACCCCTACTATATAGTCCCCGTTCTACATAGTGATTGAGGGATTTAGGGGTTAGGGTGGACGTTCAGACACAATAAACTTGTATGAGCTATGAGAACAGCAACTTTTAAAAAGAGTGTTCACGTGGAGAAATGGGCTTATGCATGCTCTCGCATGCGTTTAATAGGCGTTCCCTCTTGGGAGAGTGTACAGGGTTGAGAGAGGGCAGGTCTTTAAGGAACTTTGCGAAAGTCCTCCACAATGCCTTTAAATCCACATGTTATGCCTTGTGGCATTCTACACTTTAAAAGATTAATCTCTGTGGTCACTTTTTGAACACACTTTTTAAATTTGAGTAAATACAAATACTGTGAGCCATTTCTTGTTTTACTTTTCATCAATATTACTATTCAGATACACAAGCATCATCTTTAAACCCCTGACAACTTATATAGACCTTAGTCATTTATTTATATGCCATATAATGTCCTCCATTTTGGTGCTATAGAAATGGCCACCCTAATGTTGCAGCTTTGCTGAATGGTGGTTGGATTAAAATCAAGCTTTAAATGAGACTGTAAGGTTTGGTGGAAGTTAACTTGAGGGGCCCAAATGCAAAGATGAAGAGACAGAGTTCTTTTTGCAGATTTAATTTAGAAGCAAATGGCAACAGAAGCAGAAATCCAGGAACAATAAACAGGAAACTAAAGATCAGAAGATGCCAGGAAGAAACACACATCAGGAGCAAAGCAATGAAGAAGATCCAGCAATGAGGAACTGCACAGGCACTTTATATATGGAAGACAGAACAAAGGATGGGCTAATCAGCTGATAGGGAGCAGGTGTGGATAGAAGCTAGAGGAGAGAAAGGGGAAAAGAGACTGACACATGGGCAACAGTCAGTAACTAAAAAAATACCTTGTAAATATAACTAGAAAACAACTATAAAGACACAAAATGGAAAAGAAACCAGAAACCAAGAACACACAGAATGACATAAACCAAAGTGTAACTGAAAACTCAAAAATAAATTTAAACATAACCAAAAAGTCCTAAAATTGCAGAATCCTGACAGAGACAATGGTTATTTTGCACCTTTTTCACATCCACCAAACAGACCAGGGCAGGTGGTAAATGGGAAACAGGACTAAATATCTCAGCTGTGAAAACACTGTGTCTATCTATGCCTTTGTCACAATAACCTGAACTGCAGTTTATTGCTGAAATATGAAGTTAAGAGGACATAAATACGTTTGCATCTACGATAAATATTAAAAACAGTGTTGAGTATTTCACCCTCTATATGCAGATAAAATGTTTCTGTTCTAAGTTAGATTGATTGATCTTTTATAATAAAACTGAACCAATTTATTAAATATAATTAAACAGATGAAGATAAATAAACATAGGGGAACTAGCAACTCATAAAATCCATCTAAAGGGTTTCAAGTACCTCATGGGTCAAGTCGATTGTAAAATCCGACTTCAGATTCTCATTTTGAATCCGCTCAGCAAGTCTGTAACACAGAAGTAAAGAAGAGAACAAGAAAGTTAGCACACAGCCTAAATGTTGATGGAAGCTGATATTAAGCAATGAGATTTAGCTACTAGTTAAGATTTCATTGAATCCTTGGACTGAGTAATCAATCTTTTATTTTTTTTTATAAAATCATTACAGATCCCTTTATGCATGAAGATGAATCACAGTAGAGTAACCTAAAAAAATGTATAAGGTCTAAATTTCTGATCTTGATCTTTGACATCAGTCCATTAAGGTAATGGCTTTCTTATATCCTTCAATTTTAGCCATATTATAAGATGATTCCATGACAAACGAGGCTACATGAATTTCATTAGTTTTGGAACAGCTTCCAATTTGATGTGTGCACATTGTACTATTACTGTTGTCTTCTACCTCACTTGAAAGATCAGCCTATGCTTTCGATTCATGCTACCAGAGATTTTGAAAAATTCGGAAAAAAGGAAGATGCTGACATTATTGTGGCGGGCAAAAAGAGAACAACCTGATTGAGTTGAAAGTATGTTGTAACATTTTACCTTTAACGGCAATATTAAAAATAAGTCAGCCTGCTGGATTACATGTATTTATTACTGACAAACAAAATCAGATGCTCAAAAGCTTAGTCAAATCCTCCCAAAGCAAAACCACAATGAAATAAGTTTGATAATTAATAGTCAAATGAATAAATTGAAGAGCTTTCTTTGGATGATACTTTCAATCTAACATTAATGTCCTTTCATAAAATAATTTTTAAAAAGTTCAGCAGATGTCCCACTAAAGTCCACTTTGGGGGGGAACAAAGAAATAAACCACTAGGAAGAAAGTATGAATATAATTTTATGCATCCTTCTATTTACATTAAACAAAATAATCTTCATAATGTTTTTCTTTCTTTTTTATAAACAGTGAGGCAGGACACCATTTAGTGCTGATCAGTAGACATAGGTTGTAGTAGTTTTCACACCTTGATATTGGCAGGCCGCCATCCTAGAACCTGCTTCACTGCGTCACATAAGACTGCGGATTTAGAGCCGCCGCCAAAGATTTGTCCAAGATATTCCTACAGCCGTCATCACTCCTCTGTGACAGTGTATACTTGGCATCAGACTTAAACAGCTGGAGAATAAGATTATACCATAACAAAGATTGATGCGTTGAAAATGATCGGAGAAAAGGCATGAAAGAGATCCTTTTTTCACTCATTTTCCCACACAGCACATTCACACACACCTTTGGTACAGTGGAGCACTTAGAGCCCATCCTGCAGCCGGGTCAGGATAACCAAAAGAAGTGGTATCTTCAGAAAAATAGTAGTGGTGAATGATGGAGGGCTTGTTGTCATGGAGACGATGACCTAAAAACCATTCCTGTAAACAGCCAAATGGAAAGATTTTCTCAGTTGGTTTTCCAAATTTCTGTCTGTGACGCTCGTCATCTTTCCTCATTAAAACACTACTAAACATTTATTAGGAAAGTGATATGGGGGCATGGAATCCATGTTCGAGTCTCACCTCTTGGACTGAATATCTTTTAAGAACTCTCAGCAAAACATGCAAAACTACTGTAGTTTCCTCTTCTACAAAGATAAGCCAGGATGCCGATGCTCCATAAATAGCAGAGAGACTGAAAAAAATACCAGGTGGTTATTTAGACATTTCTTTTATTTTCCACATAGAAATCAATACACCTAAATTCAGGGCTGTTGTAAATTTAATTCTATGACTTGTTAACACATTTGGTGCATTAAAGACTCACAGCGGAAGCACAGGAAGGATGCTCCAGTTTCCTTCATAATCAGACAGCTCATGAAGGAGGAGAACCACTGGAAGCCCCTGTGTAAATCAGAATGAACAGATCTTAGCTCTCAATAGTACGTTAACCTGAAATAGAAAGTTTTCCAACTAGTTTGCATATATGAAAGCTCAGAAACAAAATTTAAATATAAAAATATTTTCATCCTCACACAAAGACAAAGTAGTATTTCTAGCTTTCCTGTAAACTAATGAAAGCAAAATATATTGAAAGGGCATGAAATAAATCATATTATTTGTTCTCACTTTTTTAAACAGGCTTTTGTTTTTTTTTCAATAAATACTATCTGTTTTCAATGCTTTGGTGCTGATTTGTAATTATAACCTTTGAACTCATTGTTTGATTCAATAATACCTAAAAGATACACAAAAAATAAAATAAGATTTTAAAGAGAAAGCATGTTATCATTAATGTGTTTTATCAGTAATTCATTATTATGTTCAGTAAATGTATTACACATAGTTGACCAAAGGGAAAAAATGACAAAGAGCCATCCATCCATTTTCTGTCACGCTTATCCCTAGCGGGGTTGCAAGGAGTGTTGGTGCCTCCAGCTGTCTACGGGGAAGAACCAAGCAAATTAACATCTTGTCTAATTCACAATTGTTACCATATATCAAAGAAAGAAAAAATTTCAACAAAATCAAAGATTTCGACAAATTTGTTTGAACTTAAAATGCCAGGTAAGGATATATTATATCATGAAACTCACAAAGAACATCTGCAAAATGCTACCAACTATATCAAATATAACTATAAAAAGAGAAACGTAATCAGAATTGATGGAAAATTAGGCAGAAAACAGCTAAACATTTGGCCAAAGTGAAAGAAAAAAATCTCCAGTACATAGCACAGCTCTCTATCTTCTGATTGAGGTTTATATTAATTGGTTAATTTTATCGACATGATTCTTCTGTCTAGAAGTGATGTTAGTGTTTTGAGTAGTCCAACCAATTCTGGCTTGAATCTGATCAGGAACCTTTGAAAGAAGTTATAGAGCAGGGGTGCCCCACCAGTCGATCACGGTCTACCAGTCGATTGTGGGCGAAGTTTTACAATGTAGACCTATTTATGGCTATGACAAAACAAAAGTTTAACAAAACACTAATCAAATCATTGATCACAAGAGGCCAACGTGTATTTTCATAATAATAAAATGAAAAATAAAAAGTATGCAGGGAACCTTTTTTTTATGCATGCTAATTGCTGGGCATGGTTTACCACGGTTGCCAAGTTGTTACCAGGGACTCTAAAGCGGGAAGAGGAATCTGAAGAGATAATGAGATAATGACATCTATCACAACTGATGGGGCTCCATCTATGGTTGGGCGCACTGCTGGATTCGCTGCTCTGTTCAAGCTGTCTGAAACTTTCCCTGATTTTTGGAGCTTCCACTGCATCATTCAGCAACAACAGCTGTGCGGCAGTATTTTAAATATGAAACATGTCATGGACGTTTAGATGAAGATCGCTTGCTCTGTTCGGGCCAGGAGTTTTCAGAGGGGTTTATTCCGTGCACAGCTCGAGGAGGCAGGTGCAGAACACACTAATCTGCTGCTGCACATCGAAGTCAGGTAGCTGAGTCCTGGCAGATTCCTCAAAAGATTTTTGGAACTTTTGCCCGAAATTAAAGAGCTTCTGAAACAGCCAACAATCCATTCTGCTGTATGTTACATCTTCACATCCACATAGTTTGTGGATGTTAAATCTGCCAGTTTCTCTGCCAATGCCAATGCCCAGTTAAGTTTATCATTGTGAAATAGTGGACTTTCCTTCTCCTTCTTCCTGCTGTGAAATGATATTATACTTAGACAGATTTTATTTGGCATTTTGTTTACACAAGTGTAAAACAAAAAGAAATTTAGATTGGAACAGCTCCCTGGACAATTTAATCTTTTTTAAAGTGCAGCCTTTGATAAGCCTTCACCTTACATGTATTGAAAATCTTTATACAGTTGAGCTTCAAAGTTTATATACCATCCCATTAAAGACAAAAAAAAATAACTACCAGTAAAATACATTGAAATCTACAAAGGTAATAATAAATAAAAATAATTTTAAAAAATGGAAACTATAACATTGATATCAGGTGTTTTCTGTAATGTTCAGGAAATATTGAGTCAGACTGGTATATTTGTTCACTGTTCACGAGCAAGGCACTGTCATTTGTCCGGGAAAGTTTGTGTTTTATTTTTATTTTTTAAACAAAAATTAAAAATCTTCATTTTATTTTACTAAATTTAAATTTTTTTAAGTTTAATTTATTATAACTTTTTTCAGTTTTGTGTTATTTGTATTAGTATTGTGAATTTATCAAGTCCTTTGAAGAGAAGGTATGTAAACATGTGACGCCTGTAGAGTTTTTGTGGTCTCACTTTTTGTTCGGGACTTTAAAAGGATAAAAGTTAGGAAAGCAAACCTCTTATAAAGTATTTAGCAAAGAAGCTTTTCGTCATGTCTGAGTGATTTCTATCTTTCTTTGTAGTAAATTTCATCTGTTAAGAATATTAAAGTGAACCAAAAAAATAAGCTAAATTGTATAAAGAAAGCATTGTTGCAAATGTGATTGTAGCAATCTGTAATCTAGTGATATTAACTGCAAAGGACAGATTGAACAAAATGAAAGGTTGGAATAAATCAAACATCCTGGACTAAAACTGAGATATTATCCTCTGGATTCCCCCACAGCATTCTCTGTCAGCAATTTCTTAATGAGGAACATCTTCACAGTTTGCTATGAATGTGGAGCTTTGAACCAGCCATGCTGTTATTTGGACTGATGTTTCTATAATTGATCACCGTCCTCACAAAATGACTCATGTTGAGAATCTCTCTGAAGCCAGTTATAGGCCTGATATTTATCAACCTCTGGTAGAATAATGTGTAGCTTAATATAGATCCAACTTTTCACTAAACCTTGGGGTGAGATTTAGAAATAGTTTGGACAGGAAATCCTGTCAGGGTTAGATGAGGATAGGTGCAGCTAAAGGTCGGAGGTTTTTAGAGGATTTAACTGAACCTAAGTGTCAGAAAGTGTTTTTTTTTTATAGCACAGTAAATGTTACTGAGTAACAATAACTGGTCTGTAGTTATGTCTATTTTTTTCTCACAATATACATTATTTTCTACGTTCTGGTGATTTTTAGAGAATTGAACTAAAGCAGAATGGGCCCTACTAAAATACTTGCATCTTAAATATACTTTAAACTAAGAATTTCAGCTATCACTGGATTACTGGCACTGATACAGGAACCAGTGCAATCAAAAACTATGCAAACTACACTGTGTGTGAATATTTGGTAATAGGCTAAGGATCAAAAAGCTTCATTCATTATGTTATTAGTTACAAACAATCTTACAATTGACAAAACAGCTGAACAATTCAGACCTTCTATGAGGCTGTAGATTTTATAAAAACTCGCCATGACAGGAGATAGCACTTCTCTGGATGTTTCATTTGGAAGGTGCGATGGAAATTAAGTTTTTAAACATATTTAATGGACCAAAATAAAGATAAATGAATAAGATAAATAGTAATAAAAGACGAACATCCCTGTGGTTTCTCCTCTATGAATCCAGGGTAACTGAGCTGTTCTGCACATCCTCTCTGTATGCGGTTGGTCATTTCTTGGGTGGCTGATCTTTTGAAAAATAAAATGCAATGGTTCTTATTCTTTTTGTGGAGCTCCTATGGGTTTGAAAGGCAAACCTGGAAGCTTTAAGAATTAAAATATATTTGTGTTGGTTTAATTACTCCTAAATGCCAACGGGAGATTATTAAACTAGACTGAGCAATAATTATTTAACTTGTGAGCAAAACATGGTCCTTGTGTGTTAGCACTAAGGTTGTATTAAAAACACTTACTGGATTTTGATCACCATGGTATTTTTAGACATAAATAAGTGGAACAGAGCTGAGTTTTAATATCTGTCATTTTTTAGTGTGAGAAATTGGGAATATGGAGTGAGAGTGTGTGAAGACACTGAGATAGGTGAGTCTCACTCCCAATGGGTGAGAGTTGACAGCCCTGTAGATCTAACTAATAAGCTAACACGTATGAGCAGAGAAGATGCTGCTCAGTGAAATAAAGCGATTCAATTTCATACACCAAGATTTAATCTTTATGAATATTGGAGACATTGTAGGCGACAAAAAATTCCAACTGGCCCATGACAAAGCAGAAAAAAAGAGCTTATCAAGTACATCTGTTTATCTGCTATGAAGACTGGAAGGAGCTGTTGTAACAGATTTATGGCACATGCATGATATTGCATGGTTTATTTTTGCAAACATTGCATTGTTTCTTTTCCTCAGCGAGACTGGATGCAAAACCAGTAAAGAGACTAAAGACAGGCAAACACTGTACAATTTTTGGGAAATCCCCTCCTCATCTGTTTCAATCTATCAATTTACATTGGTCTAAGTGAAAGCAATTAACACAAAATTTTGACCAAAGAAAAAATAAAAAAATACCTTACCACTGGTACTAGGTGTAAAGATCTAAGTGATTGATTGATTGATTGATTGATTGATTGATTGATTGATTGATTGATTGATTGATTGATTGATTGATTGATTGATCTCACAGTGGAGAAATGTACCCGCTACATTAGATCAAATACTCAAAGAAGAAGAATGTGCCAAAGGTACATGGGATATATACAGTATATAAAGTGCATATGACAGCTTTTTGTTTATTAAAAGGGTTTTTACATGGGTATTTATATAGATGGATATTTATATTCATATATATACTGTGGTTATTGCACTGGGTAATACGGCTTTAATGTGCTTCATTAAAGCCGGAGTTTCAATCTTTTTATGAATGTATGAAGCAGCCCATTAACAAACAGATAAATCGCTAGATGAGGGGATCATGTTCGTTAAGTTTAACTTCTATCTGACACAAGAATAAACCTCCAGGTAATTTCATGACATTCCACCGCCATACTAGGTTATTTCAAAAGCAGACTGCTTCATCCATCACAGATTCTATATTTGTAACTTTGCCTCCAGTGA